TATTGGTCACACACCAACTAATTTATTGGTCACGATCAACAAATCATCTGTGACCACTACCAACACAACACCACCGTAGTCTCTGTCGCCAACACCAACACCACAGAAACACACCACCGCCCCCAACATCAACATCACCACCACTTCCCAGCAACAAAATCATAGTTTCAAACATCGCAGCCAACGTTTTCACCACCGCCACGACTACACCAAACCGTCAACAACACTAAAACCACTGCCACTGTCGCTGCTAGAGCTACCCCCATCATTGTCGTCGTCGCCGAACCACCCCAACCATTGTCGTCGCAGCCGAACCACCCCCACACCACCAAACACAATTTCACGACGCCACCACCATAACCCACCACCGCACCACAATCATGCATCGCCAGTAGCTTCATTGATTTTAACAAAACAACACAGGACGGCAATAACCACCACCTTCACTGCGTCGTCGCCTCCTGATCCATCACCATATCTAACATAATCGTTGTGACGGCGACAAAAGAGAGAGGAGAGCAGCGAGAGAGAAAGACGGGGTTGGGGAAATGAAAAACACATCCAGCGAGAGAGAGAATCGGTGGCTGATAGAGGTTGGTCTAGGCGCTTGGTAGAGTTTGGAGCTGGGGTGATCCGATCAGGATTGGAACCCGAAGCCACCGGCACCAATAGTGATACACCCGGTAGATGGAGGTTGGGGGAGAGAGACAGAGAGAAGATAGGGAAATAATTAGGGTTTAGTTAGGGTAGAAAATTGTGTGTTGAATATGTAGAATAATTCAATTTTTATAATAATATTATTAATATTTAAAATTTTATTTATATCTGATTTTTGAAAAGAAAACTTTTAAATCTGAATTTTGAATTGTATAGTTTAAAACTAGGGGTGAGAGTAATTTAATCTTTATTTAAATGACTATATACGTGGAGAACAATATTCAAACAATGACTAAATATTATTAATTTTTCAAAATGTCGTGTATTAAGCCCTTGTTTGTTGTAGATTAAAATTAATTTTTTAATAAATTTTGATAAAAGTTATTGAAATATGCAGTTAAAAAATTATAAATTTCATATTAAAATTAAGTTTAAATGAATTTTAATCATGTTGAAAAATTTTGTGTATGGAGTGACAAACAACGCCGGGAAATTCTTCAAATTACCTTTAAAATTCTATAGAAATTTCGGTAGAGTAGCGATAGGAAATAGACTCCAAATAAATCCTCAAAGAATGTGCAGTATAGCAGCAATAATATCAACGTCGAAGTAAGTGTTGAACACTTTGTCCTTAAATCGAATTTGTCCCGTCATGATGCCTACGGTTTATGGCAATTAACTTCTAAGATACAATGACTACTTCTTGTGTGAGTAGCACTACAACACAGAAGAAACGGCGAACCAAAACTTGTTTACGAACTCAGGTATGCAAAGTGAAGAAAACCAGAATTTATGCAACAAGAATGCAAAAATTTGGTTAAGAAGTGAGAGAAAATGAATGCTATATGATTGCATATCATTGGTGTGATGATTGGGACGTCCCTAGGGTCCTATTTATAGACGGTGAATGCTATATGATTGCATATCATTGGTGTAAAAATTGGGACGTCCCTAAGGTCCTATATATAGATGTTGAAGGGTTGTGGATGAAGTACTGGGAGTCAAAACACAACAGTCGCACGTTTTCAGATTTTCGCCCGTTGTCTGCTCACTACGTCGCTCGAGCGACACTTTTAGTGAGCCTGTCGCTGCGCTCGAGCGATGGCACTGTCCCTATCGCTCGAGCGACGGTGTCTTCCGATTTTCACCTTTTTTTATTTCCAATTTTGTACCACAATTTCTCATTGATTCGAAATTGATTTTGAGACACTAGTTATACAGGAAAATCAAAATTCTCTTTGACCAGCCCCTCATTTCAAAGCAGCAAAGAACAAATAAACGGATTACGTTTTGACAGAGGTTGACATGAAGTCAACACTTTTAAATGCTTGATTTTTGATTCTTAACTAATCATTCTTGTGTTTAAAACCAATTTCCAACAAATTCAAACCATTCACTTGTCCTCAAAATGTGAGGGCATCTATTAAGCATAAAAAAATATCGTCGGCCAATAAAATTTTGATAAAAAAAAATATTCAAGTTAAATGTCGCTTACGTTTAGTAAATTTTCTATTTCTAGGTTCGCTAGGCTAGAGATGGCAAAAAAAATCGTCCCGCCCCCAAACGGGTTGGCGGGGCAAGGAGGGGCGCCTCGTCTCGGGTCTCGGGGCGGGTCGGAAATGCCCCGCCCCGTGAACCATTAAAAAAAAAAAAGTATTCATATATTCTCTACTAGAATACATGATAAACAAATATTTTTTGGAAGTAGAGTTATAGATGTATGTTCTTAAATTTGATGAACTAATATATTTTGTAAGTAGAGTTAAAATTATAAAAAAAATAAACGAGGCAGGGAAACGGTCCGTCGCGCCCCTGCCCCACCCCATCTAAGACAGGGGCAGGGCGCGGGGCGAGGCAAAGTGGGGTAGGGACGCCCGGTCCCGAACCCGTCCCGTTGCCATCCCTACGCTAGGCATACTTGTCCTCTAAAAGTAAGGACATCTATTAATCATAAAAAAATTTCACCGGACAAAATTTTGACAAAAAAATTATTCATAGCCGCTTCGTAAATTTACTATTTCAAAGTTCTGTAGTCACACATCTATTAATCATAAAAAATTTCACCCAATAAAATTTTGACAAATTATTCTTATTTTAAACGCAGCTTACACTTTTTTAGGTCTGTGCACGATTCGGAATGGGTTGATTTTGAGCCCAACCTGAAATCAAAATTGACTCTATCAATTTAAGTAATTTTCAATTTAAATCGATTCAATTCAAATGTTGAAATCAAATCAATTCGATTTGGGTCAATTTGATTTTGTTAGCCGATTTCACATTCCACCAAGTTAATCGTATTTCTTAACCCCCAAATATGTATTTTTGGTCGTTTTTCAAATTTTTTTCCGATTTTACCCTTTTTCTAAAACAATTATTTTACAAAACAAATTCAATTATACATTTAAAGAAAAAATTGCTTTATAAATAAAAAATATAATAACTAAAAAATTTACTTTACAACTAAATTATTTATATACAAGTAAAAAATCACTAATAAGAAAAAAATTCACTTTTATGTAGCCATTGTTTGGCCCAAATTTTCGAAAACTCGTTTTTTTCTCAAACTCTTGTCCACAGATTTTATATGATCCACAGATTTATCAACTTTTCAACAAAATATTTCATCAAATTTTATCAAAATGTACTAAAAATTTGAGCTTTAGCCAAACCAAACAGGGCGTAAAAAAATTTCTTATAAAGCCCTTGTTTGATCCCCATTTTTTTCAAAATATATTTTTCACTCTCTTCTTTTCAACCACACATATTTCAATAAAATAATATTAAATACAAACTCAAAATTTTTCCTTATTTTTTAACCACACATTCCACATCAATCTCATATTCCAAAATGCATTCTACACCAAAAAAGTGTTCAAACAAGCCAAAAGTTTAAAAAAAAAAAAAACTAATAAGACAAAAATTCACTTATAAAATATAAAAAGTTACGACTAAAAAATTCACTTGTGTAAAAGATTACTTATAAGTACAAAATTTACTTATGAGAAAAAAATTACCTATAAACTAAAATTATAATTATAAGTAAATGTTTCACTTCTTAAGTTATTGTAAAAAATTACTTACAAGTAAACTCTGACTTATATGAGTAATAAAAAAAAAATCATACAAGAAATATATTGAAAAGTTCACTGAGTGGCGTACATATTTAGTCCATATTATTTATGCATGCCTACATTTTTTAATATATGGACATATATGTACTTTTATTCTTTTAAAAAAACTTTTGGAATTGCTGCATAATAAACACTCAAGCATAAATTGGACTAATAAAAACAACCAAAAAAAACACCCTCAAAACTCCCCAGCAGGCTCTTAGAGCATCTCCAATAGACTCTTTAAACATAAGATACTCTCTATTTTAAAAAATCAACAATTAAAATCATACTCCAAGAAACTCTTTAAATTAACATTTTAATTTAAAGTGTGGGTTTGACTCTCCAAATTCACTCTCTATAATTAAATGCTTTTAAAGTATTTCAATTTTCAATGTAGGAAAATAATCTAAAGAAAAACTAGTTAAAATAAAAGATAAACAAAAATAATAAATATTTTTTAGGAGTAGTAAAATTAAGTGTTAAATATAAAAAGTTTGTTGAAGTATTTCAAAATTTTAACTCTCTAAATTTATAGATGCTTTCCAAATGATAGAATATGCTCTTTAATAATAAAGAATCTATTGGAGATGCTCTTAATGTGATAGTCTTCGATAGTGATTTCCAAACTTAATATTTACTCTTTGGGGAATAAGAAGAGACTGATGTTGCTTCCTATTAGTCTATTTCTAATGAACTGGCTTTCAGAAAGGGATATGCCTGAAAGAATTAATCCAATTTTCTAAACTATTCTTATGTCGAGATATTTTAATATGAAATGTATGACAATTAGCATGATTGGCTTAGTGAGCTTAACCAAACATGTTGTATAACAATGACAAGCAGGAAGGTTATCATCTTCCACATGACTTCCTCAAGAGATTGGTGAGTTTGTCCCTTATACAAGAACGAGCTAGCCGCATGGGATTTCAAGGTCAAATTCCTGAACTGGCCTACCAGCGAAGCTAATGGTAACTCTCGATTACAAAATGTATCAAAGCCTTGCTCACCAACACCCTAGGGACTAGCACTAGCAACTACACTATTTAGCAACTAAAATTGGATTAGTTATATTTAACTTGGATCAAAATTTTGAAGAAGTACCACGTGGCCTCTTCCTTTCACAGAAATCACTTGAAGTGTACACAGGCAAATCAAAGTAATAGATAAGATATATTCTGATTATAGCAAAAAACAGAGAAACTAATGAAAAAGTACTAGAAAGAAGACATTCTAAATGAAGGATCGAGACAAAACCTGGGAGCTTGACTCTATTGACAGCAGTTTATGCAGATGGCCAACATTTCCTCCCTGAACAGAGTTTCAGTTAAAATCACTATAACAATCATGCAAATCAAGCGATGAATTTAAAAAGATGCACGTACTTGAATTTTCTTCTACATAATGGTATAATTTATAGAGATTGTAGAATGTAGATATACCTGGAAAACTACGAAACTCATGTTCCAATTCATCAATGACAGCCTTAAAGAAGTATCCACCTGGTTTAATCAGCAATATAGCAAAAGTCAACTAGACTTGCAGTCACAGAGGAGCATGAAAGGAAGTCCTGCTTTGGAAGATCATGAAGTTTTAAAATAACCTGAGGCATAGGAGTGCCATTATCAGTATTAAGAAGCATCCCAGATTCAGGATCAACCTCAAAAAGATTGGTGCGATTTTCATCACAGAAAAAACTTGGCTTAGCACTGTGAAAAATGATTAACAATTATCAGAGGAATGGTTCACAAATTGTCCAAGTGAATTATCAGGCATGAGAATCAATCACCAATGAGTCCCATAATCATCTAAATCATGCGCTTAAATCACAGTCTATACTACTAAACTGATATAAATCATGCACTTAAATCACTGAATCAAACTTCAGTTGCAAGATTTATTTTGATGATTCAAATAAGTTCACAGAAAGGTACGGAAGCTTTGCTAAATATGACAAAGACATAAATGTGTTGCAAATGGAAAGAAAGAAAGCTTGAGTGGATCGCAACATTGTCCATTAACAAATCAACCACCGAGACAACTAATCCAAAAAAGAATGATAGAAAATCCCCTCGGAAACTGCAGAGCCACAGGTATGAGTATATAAAGAATTAAACAGTCCACAGAAACAATTTGTTTGATCATTTGCCTACTTCTGTCTTCTAAATTTACTTCTGTGATAAATTAAAATTTAAAATCATAACATGGTTCACTGTTAAATGAGTTTCATTATCAAGAAACAGAAATAACCTGCCAGTGATAACAACGTCAAAGTACTGAAGCCAATCAAGATTGCAAGCAGAACAACCATCAAGTGTTTGCGGTCCACAAAGGAAGTTCATTACAATATTTGTATAATCCCAAAGGCTGCAAAAGAAACATTAGAAGACCTTGTAATTACACCAAGTTCAGCGCAGAGAAAGAAGATTGTACTTAAAAACCAAAGGGAAAGTTATAATGAATCATAGGCAAATGCAGTCAATAAGTCCATGAAGGGAAAATACAGCAATATATTGGAAAACTAAAATAAGTCGTTGATCAATCAATTAAAGGGCTAACAATCTATTGCACCAGTATTTGGATGAGCTACAACTGCTAATAAAACATAACTACATACTGATTCTAGAACACTAGGCAAATGCTGGGGCATTCCACACTGGTACAATTTAACTTTTTGTTGACAGATATCGCAAGGACTCATTACTTCTAATCAAACTTTGTATTGTGCCATCTCTCTCATAAAAATCGATGATGAAACCACTTGTTATCTCCGGGCAACTTCTTGGTGATGGGATGGGGCGTATGTACCTGTTTGTCACCAGAAATACAGCACGACCACAATTTTTTAAGCATCTTTAGCATGGGTATAATTGATGTGTCCTCATTAATATATCTGGTAATATAGCATCACGGGCAAGTTAAGATTTGCAGTAATAAAAAGTACGGTGCATATTGAACATGAGTTAAGGATTCAGATTCAGCAAAGCATTCTATTGATAATTTCTCCTCTTAAAATAAAACAGTGTCGATATCAATTATGCAAAAATTATACTTCCCCATAAGAGAATGAAAAGGCATAAAAGGCACCACATATTAGAATCAACAGCTTAAAGTAATTCGCCGTAAGATTTATGAATGCGTGTCATGTACTTTCCTCTTTCCTCAGTAGTAGAAGCCATTTGCAAAAGCTTCAAATATTTTTATCCAAGATAAAAAAAATATCCTCCAACAGGGTTAGAATGTTAGGGAAAGACCATAGCATTAGATGGGCAAAAAAATAAATTTGACAGAAAAACTTTTACGTATCAGATATTAACATCAATATAAATCCAAAAGCATTTATACACCTCCTAAAAGCAAGCGTCTATAATATATATGCATAATCATTTCCAGACGAATAAATATAGAATTATTTAGAGTATTTACACATGAAATCCAGTTCCATAATATAAGAATTCAACCATGCCAATACTAAAGAATAATTTGAAGCGAGACGTTTCTAAAATATAAGCCAAGATGAAAATAATCAAGCAAAACACTAGTTCTGAAAAACATATTCCTGCCTAAAACAGTTCGAATCAAAAGGAAACAGAGTTAAAAACAATTTGTATCGTACACAATAAATTACTAATATATACTTTTTTGAAAATAGAATGTGATCAACCATATTCTTCATAAAGATTAATAAAAATTTCTTCATTCACTGATTGAGATCATTAATGAATTTCTGGATAGCTCTTTTCACAAGCAAACCCTCACTCAGGATCTCTTTTCATATTCTTGAAGGTAACTTTTTTACATACATTGTGTAACTTCAGTGAATACCCATGTCAGATCCTGTACAGTGGCACTTCGAATGATCTTAATTGAGAACGAAAACCATACGAAACTAAGTGTTAGAATCAGGATTCTTTTGCATAGTAATTTAGTAATTCAACATTCTAGTTGCAAGTGTAAAATGTTAAATTAAGCCATGGAGGAATGTTCTATCTTACTTGAAAATGAAGTCAACTTTACATAAAATGACAAGCTTGGCTTGCAACATTTTGTAACGTGTGCCCTTCTTCAGCACATTTTTCCAAGCCGCAGGGAACCAAACCTCAAAATTTCAAGTTATCTTTGTTGCTTCCAACTATTTGATGAGCTAGATTACGATCTAGCTAATAATTGATAAGCTTTAGAACTCGCTCAGGTTCTTCATTATACATGTCGATCTCAAATTAAGCGAGGGAAATTGTAAAAATACCGGGGCATTATGAAACGGGGTTTTGAAGGACCTACCAAACCATTAATATGGCATTAGATTTGGAAGCACTTTTTACACTCAACAAGGTTTTGCCTAAAAGTAGGATGAACAAGCTACCATGCACTCCGTCTGTCCTATTTTGAAATTTTTAACATCTGGAAAACTATGATAGGCTTGGCTATTTCACTTGAGGTGAGTGTTGAGACAAGCGGGAAAAAAAAAAGGCGAGGTGATTCACAAGACAAGCGAAAATACTTTCCAAGGTTTGAAAATAATAAATTGTGATCTCGTGCTCATAGGAGCGTCAGGAGGCTTTGAGACAATAATATAGGACAATTTTGCAAGAAATCAATAATTACAATAGCTTTAGGATTTAAGTATTATTGATAATTAGGATTCCTAGAATTTATAGGATTCAATTAGTTTTTTTATTTGGTTGATAGGATTTCTACATCTATTAGAAATAAATCATTTGTTATTTGTTTTATTTTCTTTTTAGGATTAATTTCTATTACTTAGACTATTAGAAGTATGATATTACCTTTTCTTCAAATATATATATTGGAAGAGGGCTAGATTTGTTTGTAATCAGAACTCATATTTATTATATTCAAGTTATTTTAGATAATATTGTTGAGTTTTTTAGTTTTTTCTTATTTTTACAAGATTTAACTTCCGTTGTCGGCCAAAATTAGTACTAGAGCAAGATTTTGCCCTTGATGATCACATGAAGGTAGTGGCATGCATCATCAAGACAATGTCCAGAGAATTTCAAACTTACCAACCTCAATCTCTATAACGAAAGATTGATAAGTTCGAATATGTTGCAGACAAGAATTTGTAGACTTGACTGCTATAATTGTTGGTCGATTCTAAGAGCTTAGAACAAAGCAAAGGTGACTAGAAATTTTCCTCAAGTCCCAGCTAGGTTCAGAATCCTCGCAAGAGATGGCAAAGATTATGGATTATTTTATTTTATTGATTAACTTTCTCTTCTTCAACTAAACTATAAGACGAGCTTTTTCAATTGGGGGGATCGATGTAGAGCAATTCTACTAGAAATCAATTATTATTAACCATAGGATTAATTATTAACGGTAATTAGAATCCCTCGTATTTATAGGATTCAATTAGGGTTGACAGGATTTCTACTTCTATTAGAAATAGGTTAATTGTTTTCTTTTCTTTTTTGGATTAATTTCTTTTACTTAGTCTACTAGAATTAGGGTATTACATTTTCTTCCAAAACCTATATTAGAAGAAGATTGGACTTATTTGTAATCGCAACTCACTTTGAAGCACCGACACGACACGTGTCCAACATGTCGACCGTGATTTTTCAAAATAGTACTAACACGACACGTTGATTAAATTCTTTAAAATTCTTCATTTATATATAGTATAAATTTAGCCCTTGTCTGGTTCCCATTTCACCCAAAAAATGCATTCTTTCTACCAACATAAGGTCACACATGCTAACATGCATTTTGAATTGATTAGTGCAATTTTTAACTTTCCTGAAATACCCCCATTGGCCTTCAACGGCCCTCTGTAGTTGGAGTGCTCGTTGTAGAGGGTAGTAAACGGATTGGGGTGTAAAAAGTTGTTTGCGTATAGTAACATGTCATGTGCTTTGTCAATGGATTGGACACGTAACGTTCTCATTTTTTCCTAAAATAAAGTGCAAAATGGGCAACAAACAGCCTCTTAGTTTTATAAATGTTATTAATTTTTCTTATTGAAATTGTTTAAATATGAGTGCATATTTGTTATTTAGCACATGTCTGGCCGAGATTTTAATCTTCAATAAAGGCAATTTTTTTACCGTTGAAGGAAGCAACGGTTAGAAAATCCAAAAAAGGATGTTGAATCTATAACTAAACAAAGTCAAAAATTGTGGGGCAATTTTTGTAGCAACGGTAGAAATATCGATTTTAATTGCGCCCAGACACCCCCTTAATAATAACTTTGAGTTAAAAATATATATTTTTAATAAAGAGAAAAAAAAATGATCATAGCAAAGTGTCTGAAGAGTGTCGGTATCCGACACATGTCGAACACGGATACGCTACCATAGTTTATGTGCCCGTGCTACAGAGGCAACTTGTATTCATTATATTCAAGTTATTTTAGATAATATTCTTAAGCATTTTACTATATTAGAAGAGGACAATACTTATCTTAGATCACACTCATGGGTTAGCGTGTGGAAATTTCCATTATTAACGTAAAAGGCGAGGACGATATTTGGATATATGAATCCTAATAATACTTATCATTTTTCTCTTCGACCAAAAGTCGACCTAATATTTCCAACATTTGGTGGTTAACATATTTATTAGGTTTCCCTAATAATTTCTACCTGTATAAATGGTATTAGAACGGGCATTTTCCAGTGTTAGAGAAAACAAAGAGACGTGAATTTAGAAATATAAATATTGCAATCATCTCTCATTCATTATAATGAAATGCAGTAGCAGCAAGTGGACACAGCTATTGCATTGAAAGTGAGCTACTATAAATTGTATTTTACTTGCTTTCCTTTTTTGTTATGTATTACCCATTAAGCTCAAAAGTACGAGATTAGATTGTAATTCATAAGACGATTGGAACAAAGAAACCCTCTTGTGTGGTTGACAAGGTTTTATGATTCATTTTGTGTAACAAAATCATATGATTTTTAGGACCATAAAGTTAGAAAGATCGTGTACATTCAAGGACAACCAAGAAGATAGGTCAAAGATATTTGAATGGCGTTTGACCAAGACATGTGGAAACAAATTTTTACAAAGGTGAGATGGCGTAAAACATAAGCGAGTCGAGAGTGCGATTCAACACAATGAAAGGAGTTTTGCATGGGAAGAAGCTTAAGCACGTGCTTTAGACTTATATTTCAACTTTTGCTTGTTCTAATGCTTAAGTAAAAAGTAACACAAACACCTTAAATAATTTGGTGTTTTCTGAGAAAAGAAAGGAAAGAGTTGAGGTTGAAATGAATTTATCAAGTTGCGAAAGATGGGACATAGTACCAAAAATGTAGAAGGCCAGATAACTGACTAGAAAGGTTAATTGAATCTCACCCATGTAATGATGGTGTCAGTCCAATTGTTTTGCATTTGCATGGTAGTAGGTAAAAAGGTAAGTGACAGTGTGACACCATAAGATTTTAAAAAGGATTTGAGTTCATGAAACTCGCCAAAACCATTGGAGTAATGTGAAATAAAAAATCTATTAAAAATTTTCAACCATCAACCTATTTTTTGCAAAGACATAAGCATCAAATTTGTGCTTAACTGCCCTACTCCAAATTCATCTATTGAAATTATCAATAAATATAAGATAATTGATGCATAGATTGATTGTTGAACATAATTTCCATTTCAAAAGTTTTTATAACGAAAGATTGATATCGTATAACAAATATTCAGTAATCGATCTTTAAACATGAAGAATGTTGTTGATATTGGACGTGGATTATACTTTGGCAAAATACAAACCCATGACCTTCAGATTGCTAGCTTTAGAAAGCATAGTAAAGAAGCTAGTTCATGATTTGGAATACCATAGAGAGGTTTGTCAAAATTTGTTGATCTTTCACAATATCAAGAAGAGGGACATTGAAAAGGAAAGTCATTAATTTCAACTCATGCATTGCATGATGAAAATAGTTGGAGTCAACTTGAGTTTGGGAGAAAGAGCGACCAAGACAACTGTGTCAATCTTGGAGAGTACACTTGATCCTAGCAAAGCAAGAATAGGGGAGAGTGTAGATGGAGATGAAGCATTCAATGGCCACACATAAACTCTACTTTTATTCGACCCATGCATAGGAGTGAGAATTCAATATTTATACAATTAGAACAACAAAATTTTGAATCGGAAATTAAGTTCATTCCCATGTTAAAGACACAAAGCACATTAGAAAATAGAATT